AATGGCCTACAGTTGGCTCCGGGTATCCGAAATGTGGCCCGGGAATGGAATTCTGGGAAGTCGAAAAGCACGAAGTGGCCTACAGTTGGCTCCGGGCATCGAAAATGTGGCCCGGGAATCGAGTTCTGGGAAATCGAAGAGCACGAAGTGGCCTACAGTCCCACCAGCCCTTTAGGGCGTAGGTGGTCTAGAGCGTTTCCTCTGCCAACCCCCCTTCTTTCCCTTCGGGGAGGGGTTTACCCCTCCCCTTACCCCTCCCCACTGACCTGGACGGGGCGTTCCGCGACGCGTTGGGACGCCCAAGATGGCCCAAGACTGCTCCAAGAGCGAAAAGGCGAGAAAGCACAAAACATTGATTTTCCTTAGGTTTTGGAAGGATTTTGGCCTCTTGGGGGGGCCCAAGAGGCGATCCGAGGCACTCTAGAGGGGCGAGCCTAATTGAGGCTCCCCCCTTCTTTGATATATATATTCCCAACATGGCCCCAAGAGCGCCCCGAAGGCTCCCAAGAGCGCCCCAAGAGCGCCCCAAGAGCGCCCCAAGAGGGCCCCAAGAGGCGCCCAAGATGCCTCCAAGAGGCTCCCAAGAGACTCACAAGAGGCCCCAAGAGAATCCAATATGGCCCAAGACGGCTCCAAGAGCGAAAAGGCGAGAAAGCAAAAAACAATGATTTTCTGTAGGTTTTGGACGGGTTTTGGCTTCTTGGGGGGGGGCCCAAGAGGCGAATCGAGGCACTCTAGAGGGGCGGGGCTAATTAAAGCTCCACCCTTCTTTGATAGATCTCCTCCAAGATGGCGCCATGAGCACCCCGAAGGCACCCAAGAGCGCCCCAAGAGCGCCCCAAGAGAACCCCAAGAGGCTCCAAGAGACGCCAAGAGGCGCCCAAGAAGCCTCCAAAAGGCTCCCAAGAGACCCCCAAGAGGCCCCAAGAGGCTCCCAAGATGGCCCAAGAAGGCTCCAAGAGCGAAAATGCGAGAAAGCAAAAAACATTGATTTTCCATAGGTTTTGTAAGGATTTTGGCCTCTTGGGGAGCCTAAGAGGCGACTCGAGGCACTCTAGAGGGGCAGCGCTAATTGGGGACCCCCCCTTCTTTGATAGATCTCCTCCAAGATGGCCCCAAGAGCGCCTCGAAGGCTCCCAAGAGCGCCCCAAAAGCGCCCCAAGAGGGCCCCAAGAGGCCCCAAAAGGCTCCCAAGAGGCCTCCAAGAGGCCCCCAAGAGACCCCCAAGAGGCCGCAAGAGGCTCCCCGATGATACAAGCTACGAATGGTGGTTTGCACTCAAGAGGGCCCCCCAAAGACTGTGCACAAAGAGGCCCACAAGCTCGCCATCTAGAGGACCCTCACTCCCCTGCCTTTTATTCACTACTCCATCCTCCCCCTCATTCCCTCCTCCCCATCACATCCCCCCTCCTCATCCTTCTTCCTTTTCCTCCCTTTCTCGTTCTCTCGTCCTCGACAGTACTCCTATTTCTCCCTCTTATCCATCCTTTCCTCCTCCTCCGCTTGATCCTCATCCTCTACAACTCTCACTCCATCTTCCTCTCCTACCTCCGACGACGAAGGCTCCTCCTAAATCCTTTTCCCCCTCTTGGGGGAATGGCGGCTCACCCGGACCTTTGTTCTCTGACATGACTCCCCCGCTCGCCCCAAGAGGGGCCCCCCTCTCCAAGACGGGCTCCAAACAAGAAGAGAAGAAGCGCCCCAGAGGCTTCCAGGATGATCCCAAGAGACTCCCAAGATGCCAAAATCCATCCAAAACTCGGAGAATCAACGTTTTTGGCTTTCTCGCTTTTTCGCTTCCGATGGCCATCCGAGGCCTGAAGATGGCTCCAAGATGGCCCAAGAAGGCACCAAGAGAAGCCCAAGAGAGCTCCAAGACGGCCCCAAGAGCGCCCAGGAGCGCTCCAAGATTGCCCCAAGAGCGCCCCAAGAGCGCCCCAAGAAGGCCCCAAGAGGCCCCAAGAAGCCCCCAAGATGCCCCCAAGAGGCTCCCAAGAGATCCCCAAGAGGCCTAAATATGCTCCCAAGATGGCCCAAGACGGCTCCAAGAGCGAAAAGGCGAGAAAGCAAAAAACATTGATTTTCCTTAGGTTTTGGACGGAATTTGGCCTCTAGGGAGGCCCAAGAGGCGATTCGAGGCACTCTAGAGGGGCAACGCTAATAAGCAACCCCCCCTTCTTTGATAGATCTCCTCCAAGATGGCCCCAAGAGCGCCCCGAAAGCTCCCAAGAAGCCCAAGAGCGCCCCAAGAGGCCCCAAGAGGCCCCCAAGAGGCCTCCAAGAGGCCTCCAAGAGACTCCCAAAAGGCCACAAGAAGCTCCCCGAGATACGCAAGAGGCCTCCGGGACCGCCAAGAGGCCCCAAAGACGGCCCAAGAGGCCCCCAAGCTCGCCATTGTCCTCCTCCTCCTCCTCTTTTTCTCCCTCCTCCCTCCTCCCCCTCCCCCTCCTCCGCCTCCTCCTCCCTCTACTCCTCCTCCTTCTCGTCGACCTCCTCGTCCTAGCCCTCCTCCTCTTCTCTCCTCCTCCTCCTCCTCCTCCTCCTCCCCCTCCTCCTCCTGCTCCTCCTCCTGCTCCTCGTCTTCCTCCTCCTACTCCGACGACGACGACTCCTCCTACCTCCTCCCCCTCTTGGGGCGTATGGCGGCTCAACCCGCTCTTTGTTCTTCTGCATGCTCCCCCGCTTCCCTCATCACCTCCACTCCCCTGGGGCTCATTTCTGGACGGGCTGGTGGGGATACGCGAAGCGTCTAGAATTAAATCTTCGGATGTCCCTGGCTTTTGTTGCTCCCATCGTGCTCGAGGACCACATAACAAAAATCGAGCACCCAGAGAAGTATCGAAACAGTGTCGAACGAGTCTCGTCTCCCAGGGCCCGACACGTGAAAACCCTCCAGTTTCGGTACTTCCTTGGTGCCCGAAAGTCTTCCCGGTGGTCCAGGCTAAGAAGTAGGTTGGAGCAGCGTCATCCCTGGCACCTCTTCGACCTTGCGAGCGCCTTCCGGAGCCTTCCGGGAGCCTCAGGGCTGGTTGACCGCGGGAGGCCTCCATGGGCTCCCGTGCCCCGGTGCCCTAGGTATGAGGGGCAACGATCGGGGGGGGGGGGGGGACTGGCATGGGGGGGGGGCCCTGTCGCTGCCCCTGGCTAGAGCTGCGCAGCGTGGTTTGCAGCCCCAGCGTCCTTCGTGACGCCTGGCTTCCGGGGGTAGCCCTCGCACCCACTGGCGAAAAGGCGCGAGAGGAGGAGGGCACAGCGCGGCGCTCCGAAGAGTAAACTGCACTCCACTGGTCTCTATCCCCGTGAGGGGCGTTACAAAGGATTGCAAAAAAACCCAACGAAGGATTGCAAAAAAAACCCTTCGTTCAAGGGTTTTTTTGCAATCCTTCGTTCTAGGGTTTTTTTGCAATCCTGGGTTTTTTTGCAATCCTTCGGTTGTTTTGCAATCCTTCGTGTTTTTTTTTGTTTTGCAATCCTTGGTACAAGAGTTGTTGGACAAGACTAACTGCGTGCATCCTGACGCTGTCGGCCATCCGAGCGCTCAGGACAGCTCAAGAGGCCCCCAAGACCCTCCCAAGACGGCCCCAAGAGGGGGCCCAAGAGTGCACGCACGACCGCCGCGCCGCATCCACACGCCCCTAGTCATCACCCTCCTCTTGGACACAAGCCCCCCTACGCCACCCTGCTGGAAAGCATCCCGATGCCGGAAAGCTGCCGAGAGCCGACGAGGACGCCCGGCAACCTCGAACCCCGAGGACAGCGGGGGCCGCCGAGAGCCGGCGAGAACGCCCCCAAAAAAGCGAGGACGATAATCGACCAAGATGTCTGAACACGTCCGAGGAGACCCCAGCCCTCCAAGAATGCCAGAGACCCCACGTAGGCCCGCATCGAGCCCCTGAGAGGCGCCCCTTCGAGAAGCACCCGCCATCATTCAAGAAACGCCACGTTCGCGACGGCCCCGCACGGGGCCCAAAGGGGGCCCAGAAGTGCGCTTTCCCAAAAGGCCCCTTCCATGATGGCTGAACAGGCTCTCTCGAGGCCCCCACGAGCCCTTCAAGGGGTCCCCAAGAGGCTTCGCAAGAGATCCCAAGAGGCTTCGAAAAGGTCTTTTCATCCTCCTCATCCTCCTCCTCCTCCCTTTACCCCTGGCTTGGAGATCATGTGTGGATGGGCTGATAGGGACGGGTGACGAGTCATCCTCTGCTTTCTGGTCTTCAGATAGGACAGAGCGGTACGAGCCTCCACCCCGTAATGGCCCTCGAGACCGCCAGGAGGCCCCCTATGAGGCCCCCAAGAGGCTCCTCAGAGGCCCACATGCCAGGAGGCTCTTCCAAGAGACCTCGACCCCCCCCCAAGAGGCTCCCAAAGAGAGCCCAGGTATGAGGCCTCTGCCCCACGACCTCACTGCGGTGACGAGCGAGGCCGAAGGCCACTAGACATTTGGCGTGAGCAGCACCGCACGGCCAGAAACTGGTGGGCTAGAACCGCACCTGGCAGAGCCCTGGCGAGCTGCCAGCGCGGCGGGCCCGACGCTCGACCGCACCCGGCTCTGGGGCGCGGGTTGGGAGAGGGGGGGGGCTGAGGAGGCGTGTGCACGAGCATGGCGGGAACAGAGTTGGACGGGCTCCCCACAGGCGCCGGGTGCGCGGGCGAACAGCCGTCTTGAGACCGCTGCGCAAAATTGCACTGGCATGCCCCCCAGGGCACAGCAGACAGAAAAACTGCGACACCACTCGAATAGCGTGACGCTATGTGATCTGCAACCAACGTCGTCCAAAATTATTGCCTGCAGGAAGCGGCGGCTTGTCCCGCACCAGCATTTTCCCCCTCCCCTCTACCTCCTCCTCCTCCTCCTCCTCCTCCTCTCCCTCCTTCCTCCGCCTCCTCCTCCGCCTCTCTCCTCGCCTCCTCCTCCCCTCCTCCTCCTCCTCCTCCTCCTCCCGTTCCTCCTCCTTCTCCTCCTCCTGCTCCTGCTCCTGCCTCTTCCTCCTCCTCCTTCTCCTCCTCCTCCTCCTCCTCCTCTGGGCCATTCCTCAGCGTCGCCCGCGACTGCGGCTGCGGCTGCGCCTGCGGCTCCTGTCATAACTGCGGCTCCTGCCGCGCCCGCCGCCCCCGCCGAAGGAGCCGCCGAAGGAGCCGCCGCCGCCGCCGCCGCCCTTGCCCCCGCCCTTGCGCAGCGCGCGACCAGACGGCGGCGGCGGCCCGGCGTTCGCGGCCATGCGCTCGATCTCCGGCGTGACCTCCTGTACGCCACGAAGGTATATACACAGGCACCCTCTGACGAACTTTGCATGTCCCTTATGGGAGGGTGGCGGTGCACAAAGGTCGCTGGCTCCCAGTCGGTCATTTATACACCGCCACCCTCCCCTGAGGCCCAGGAGCAATCCATCAGAAAGTGTATGCGCATGTATTTGTGTGGCAGATCCTGGTTCGTGCGCTTCATCACTTCTATTATGCCCCGCAGCGCGTGCGCGTCGCGGTCCGAAATCAGGGCCACCGCGTAGCCCTTCTGCCCCGCGCGCCCAGTACGGCCGATGCGGTGCACGTAGTCCTCGGTGTTCGAAGGCACGTCGTAGTTGACCACCAGCGTGATGCCCTTGATGTCTAGGCCTCGTGCCGCGACGTCGGTGGCCACCAGCAGCTTGATGCGCGCCTCCTTGAGGTCACCGAGCGCCTGTTCCCGCTCCCGCTGGCCCTTGTCTCCGTGGATGGCGGCGCATGGCACACCCTTCTGGCTCAGATCGCGGGAGAGCTGGTCACACATGCGCTTCGTGCTGCAGAACACGATGCCCTTGGCCGCCGCGTTTGCGCGGTCCGCCACCCCCGCCTGGCGCAGGACGTCCATCAGCATCGTGTTCTTGTTGTGCGCGCTGCAAGGCTTGATGATCTGCGTGATGTCCTGATTGCCCTTCAGCTCGTCCCGGTTGCCGATCTGGACCTGGAAGGCATCGCGCAAGAACTCGCTGGCGAGGCGACGGATGCTCGCGGGCCAGGTGGCGGTGAAGAATAGCGTCTGGCGCTGCCGAGGAATCTTGGCCAGGATCTTGCGGATCTGCGGCTCGAAGCCCATGTCGAGCATGCGGTCCGCCTCGTCCAGCACGAGCTTCTCCACCCGCTCCAGGCGCAGCTGACCGCCCTCCAAGAAGTCGTTTACGCGCCCGGGGGTTCCGATGATGCCGTGGACTCCCGAGCGCAACTCGCGGAGCTGCTCGTGCTTGGGGGCGCCCCCGTAACAGCAAGTCGTGCGCAGGCCGCTGGAGCTGCCGAACTTCTGGGACTCGTCCTTGATGGGCCTGTTTTCCACCACTACCACTATAAGTTGGAGGGGAAAGGAGGTGGAGGATGAGGAGGAGGAGGAGGAGGAGGAGGAGGAGGAGGAGGAGGAGGAGGAGGAGGACCCCCTCCGCCTCCAACTTATGGTGGTGGTGGTGGGAAACATGCCCATCAGTCCTGGATCTGGACCGCCAGCTCGCGCGTGGGCGCCAGCACCAGCATGGACGGATCCCGGTCCGAGACGCGCTTCTCCAGCATCCAGGTGAAGCAGGGCAGGAGGAACCCCAAGGTCTTGCCACTGCCCGTCGCCGCGACGCCAATCACGTCGTACTGCTGCACCGCCAAGGGCCAGCAATACTGCTGGACCTGCGAGGGCGCAGGGAAGCCAGCCTGCAGCAGGCGGTCCTTAATGCTGGAGGGGAAGGGCACCTCCTGGAAGGTGGCGAAACGCATGTGATTGTGCACCAGCTGCCCCCGTGGGTCGATGACCTTCACCTCGTTGTCCTGAACCGTAGCCGCGCTTCCACCCGAGGTGGTGTCCTTGGCCAAGTCCTGCATGCTCGGGAAGCCTCCAGAAGGGCCTGCCGCGGGGTACCCTCCACATCCTCCCTGCTGATACCCGCCCATCTGCATGCCGTAAGACGGCTGTTCCCAAGCCTGGTACTGCGGCTGCATCTGCTGCTGCTGCATCATCTGCATCTGGCCCGGCGCCATGCCGCAGCCTCCCATCATGCCGCCCGGAAACTGCGATCCTGTCATCGCGCCACTGGGGGGGGGCGACGGCGCCTGCCAGAGGGACGTCGGTCGGCAGCACGTCGAGACTTCAGATGACAGCTTGAGCCCCAACGAATACGGAGAAGAGGGGTGATAAAGGAGGGGGAGAACGAGGAGGTCGAAGACAACAAACACAAGGACTCTCGAAGACAGTTGGAGGTCTACATGGATGAGGAGATCCACTCCGCCTGTCTTTTTGTTAAGTGTGGGCCCTACATCCACAGATGAGGCCCGCGCGCCTTCTAAGAAGCAGGGTGCTTCGAAAGAAGCCTCCCCCCCTCCCCCCACTCCCTTGGAGAAATCAAAACGTACCGATACCGCTACTCCCATGATCCTGGGGTGCGTGCTGATGACCATAAATGCGAGACGTACCCGGCGGTGGCGGCGAGGGCCTCTCAGGAGGCGCAGAAAAGGGGACAACAGGCGAAGTGCAGCGGTATTGGTACCTTGTCCTCCTCCGAACCCTGCCCCCCTCCCTCCAATGGCATACTCCGCAGGACGCGGCCGCGCCGGGCCGGCGCAAGCATGTGTGTTGCACTTGCCGCGGGCGGCAAGAAGGGCCGCGCGAGGCCAGGGCTTCGCGCGCAGGCAGAAGGAAACCAGCTCCGAACTGATCCCTACCGGCCTCCTACATGGGATCCGAGCAGATGGAGTCGGAGGATCGCACCGCATTGCCAATACATCGACAGTGCACTGGCGATGCATCGTCGCCGTCGGCGATGCATCGACGACGTCGGCGTGGAGAACATCGGGCGCCACATTGAGCCGCATCGGCCACGCACCGGCGATGCGGCGCGATGCTTCGACCTCATCCACTCGGACCCCTCTGGGAGGCCTGGACTGTCCCTCTGCGCGTGGCCGAGCCTGGAGGAGGAGGAGGAGGAGGAGGAGGAGGAGGAGGAGGAGGAGAAGGAGGAGGAGGAGGCCCCTCTTGCGCGTGGCTCGGAGCCTGCGCTCCCCTCCGGGGGCGCTCCGCCGCGAGGGGGCCTCTGCGCCCCGAGGGGGCGGCCCCGCCCTCTTCGACCCGGCACGGGGAGGGCCGCCCTGGGCGCCCGTGCGCCCCGCCGCCGCGCGGCAGGCGCGCCAATGCGGAGGGGGGTGGGGTGGGGGCCTTGGCTGTCGGATGGGGTGGGGGCCTTGGCTCTCGGATGGCGAGGATGGCGATGATGATGATGATGATGATGATGATGATGATGATGATGATGATGATGATGATGATGATGATGATGATGATGATGATGATGACGATGATGATGATGTGATGATGATGATGATGATGATGATGATGATGATGATGATGATGATGAGCTGCTGATGATGATGATGACGCTGTGATGATGATGCCGATGATGATGCTGATGATGATGATGATGATGATGCTGACGATGATGATGATGCTGATGATGCTGCTGCTGCTGCTGCTGCTGATGATGATGATGATGATGATGACGATGACGAGGAGGAGGAGGAGGAGGAGGAGGAGGAGGAGGAGGAGGCGGAGGCGGAGGCGGAGGCGGAGGCGGAGGAGGAGGAGGAGGAGGAGTTCGGGTACCCTGGGGGAGGCGAGTACATCTACTAGCGCCGAGCGAGGGCGCGGGCAGCTGCAATCGCCGAGGCTAAGCCCTCGGGTGTCGGCGCCGAGTGTATCTTCATGTTGTTAAGCGTGTGGAAAGCCAGCGCGATACGCTGACACGTTCGAGAGGAGGAGGAGGAGGAACCGGCGGAAGAGAAGGAGGCGGAGGAGGAGGAGGTTTGGTTTTCTCCCCCCCCACTTGGTACTGCCGCGGGCTGAGTTACTCTCAACCTGTCGGGCGCTCTCAACCTGTCGGGCCCGTTGCTCTTTGCTTCTCTTTGTGCCTGTCCGCGGCGTGCTGCATTCGCGGCGTACTTAGTTCGCTTACTCCGCCTAAGTTGGCGCCGCTTTTCTCTTTTAATATCGAACGCAACAAGCGCAGTCTTCAAGTTTAATCAACGTCAAACAAATGATGATGATGATGATGATGAGGAGGAGGAGGAGGAGGAGAAGGGGACTTTGGATGGATGTGCGCTGCGATAACTGCGCTTCCTCGGAGGCTGCCTGGGCCCCGCGGCGTTTCGTCCCGCTGTGTCGCTTAGCGCTACATCAGGCGAAGCCGATAAATCGAGAATCTCTGAGATCTGGCGGCTCTGGGGGATGTCTCGGGCGCTCCGGCCTTCTCAGAACTTGCCGGAGCGCTGTGAGCGAGCGCTCCGGAAAACTCTGGAACGGATTATCCGTCCTAGCCCCGTCCAGTTACCAGCCGGCGACTCCTGGAGCGAACGCCACCGGAGTCGCCTGGCCCATGGTTTGATCCCCCCCCCCAAGGCCGACCGGTCTGGGGGGCGGGGGATGGCCGCGCCCGTCGGATGCTCAGAGCATCAGTGGCTCAATGGCTCAGGAAGAGGAGGAGAAGGAGGAGGAGGAGGAGGAGACTTTGGATGGAGGTGCGCTACGCTATGATGCCTGCGCTTCCTCTGAGGCCGCCTGGTCCCCGCGGCGTTTCGTCCCGCTGTGTCAGTCCGGGGCCCGGCACCCCAGACAGCTGGCGTCGTGATCTTTTCGCAACGTGGACCCCCAGAGGTCTCTGGACCCCTTCCCTGGGACCGGTTTCACATCCTGCGTCGTTTTTTGACGGTCAGGGCCTGGTATGGGCCCCGGAAGGCCAGAAATGGCCAAGAACCGCCCGTCTTGTTTTTTTCGCAACGCGAGGGGGTCTGGGGTTGTTGGTCCTTGTATTTCCACATGGATTCATTTTGAAAGGGGCGCGTATGTAGCGGTAGCGTCTGCGCTGCGCAGAGACAGACCCCAGACGCCGCCGAGCCGAGCCGACGAGGAGGAGGAGGAGGAGGAGGAGGAGGAGGAGGAGGAGGCGGAGGAGGAGGAGGAGCTCTCGAGCTCAAGTCTGGCCAACGTAAAAGGAGGAGGAGGAGGAGGAGGAGGAGGAGAGGAGGAGGAGGAGGAGGAGGAGGAGGGGAGGAGGAGAGGAGGAGGAGGAGGAGGAGGAGGAGGAGTGGAGGAGGAGGAGGAGGAGGAGGAGGAGGAGGAGGAGGAGGAGGAGGAGGATCTCTCGAGCTCAAGTCTGGCCAACGTCAAAGGAGGAGGACATCGAGCGAGACGCTCTGAGACGGCCTGCGCGGGGAGGGGGAGGCGAGGGCGCTCGGACTTCTCTCGCGGCGCGCCGAGGGCCCTCAAAGAGGGCCGGGGGCTCCTGAGAGGCAATGCATCGAAGGTCGAAGGTCTCTCAGAGGCCTGATGGAGGCAGGAGGGCTGCAAGGGAAGCCCCCCCGCTTTTTTTTTTGTGGCGGCCGCCTCTCCTCGGCCCGCCCCCTCGCGTGCGGCAGCACTTTCGCCGCGCGCCAAGTGTTCGAACGCCCCACGTTGCGCGACGGTCAGGGCGGCCGCCATTTTTGGGAGGCAAGGGCCCGCCAAGGTCCGACCCGTACCCCCCCCATCCAGCAACGTCCAGATCCAGGCCCGAGGCGTGTCCGACCAAGGTCTGCCGGGCCCTCCGCAACGCCCAGAAAGACGTTGATGTTTGATTCTGGAGCCTCCTCCCTCCCCGGACTCCCCTCTTCTGGACGCCTGGCACGGGACGAATGCCCAACAACAAGGGTCGTCCCAAACCGACAGCGGCCGCTGCTGGGCAGGCGGCCTTTTTGTCTCGAATGGACCACGTCCGCGGCGGCGCGGGTAGCGAATCCAGTTCAAAACGAGCAGGAATTGCTGTTGGGCATCGTACCCACTCTTTCTACAAGAAAGAAACATTGCATAAACATGAACTTTTGGCGCTCCGCACGGATTTCTTGGATCCGCGCTGGACCCCCCCGGTGGCGGGGAACAAACATATGTTTATGGCGTTTTCGTCATCTTCGATGTTGGGCATCGCATCCACTCTTTCCGCACCCGACGCCCAAAAATCTTGACCCCTTCCCCAAGACCGGTGTTTCATCCTGGGTCGTTTTTTGACGCCCCCGAGGCCACGAAGGGCCCCTGGAGGCCGAACATGGCGAACCAAACTCCCGCCGCGACTCCTTCACAGCGCGAGGGGCCTGGGCTCCGCACCCGCTTCGCTCGTGCTGGCCTCTGGCCGAACTCCTTCACTCGGGTCGGGCGAAAGGGGGGGATAGCAAATTTCGTAACCCCCCCTTTCCCAATCCAGCTGCATGCAGCAAATTTCGTAACCCCCCCTTTCCCAATCCCCCCCTTTCGCCCGGCCCGATTCACGGCCAGCCCCCCTGGCTGGCTGCCCCCCCCCGTCGGCGCTGTGGGCTCTCCGGGGCCGCCGCGCCCCGCCCGCTGCGCGCTGCTCCCCCGCCCCCTCCTCGCGGCCACGGGCGCGCGCGCCTCGAGGAGCAGCCGCCTCCGCGCCGGCGGTGCGGCCTCCGCCGAGCAGGGGGGACGGAAGGACCCGGCCTCCTCCTCCTCCTCCTCCTCCTCCTCCTCCTCCTCCTCCTCCTCCTCGTTCACAGAACCCCCTCACGTTGTGAAACAAGCATGACGGGAGGTTTTCGTGATTTTTGGCCTGTGGGAGCCCTCGCCAGGTCCTTTCGGCCTGTGGGAGCCCTCGCCAGGTCCCCGGACCGTCGAAAAACGACGCAGGATGAAGATTCGGTCCCTGTGAAGGGGTCGAGACCTCTCGGGGTCGACGTTGTGACAAAATCACGATGTCAGGATCCTGCAGGAGCCTGCAGGAACCTGCAAGATCCTGCGCGCAGGCCCGAGTCAATGAGCCCCTGGCTCTGCAGGATCCTGCAATATCAGGTACTCTGGCTGTCCCCCGTTTGCATTGACCCCCATCTCAAGGCTCCCGGTGTCTCCTCCTCATATTCCTGTGCCCTCCAGCTGGTGTATGTGCTCCTTCCTGCCATGCCCCCATCCCTCTCCCCCTTTATCCCATCCTTTCATCTGCACACATTTCTGCTGTGGCGCCTGCGATCACCGATTATCTGCCTCTTCGCCTCGCGCGATGGACTGAGGCTAAGACAACCCGCGGTAGGCGGGTCTGACACATCTACTCTCAGCGTGTGGGCGCACGCATGAGCGGCACGGA